ATAGTTTATCTACTTTTGGTGGTGAGATATATTATTATGGTCATTATAATTATAATGATAATTATTTCGACCACGTCCATGGTTATGATCACGTCTTCGTTCGTGTCTAAAATTATTATAAGTTGTCACATTCCCTTCGGAGAGTGGAGTAGATCCACTTGGACGAGATTCATTTTTTTCATCAATAGCTTTTTATTTTATTTAACCACGAACAAGTATGAAATCGATTCAAAATATCTCTTAAATTTTTTTTCTCTATATGCTACTATATGAGCATATTTGAGACATGAAAAATAAATGATATTAACGCAACATCAAGCACTCATGATCAATAATTTTTGCCCAAAATGTTAAGGGCCACAAAATCAACTTTTGTAATAATTGATATCATAAAAATTTTATATTGCAAAGTATAATAATAATATTAGGAAATAAAAACAAAATATAATAATAAAATTTGAATAAAAACAAATATAATAATAAAATTTGAACTTTTCAAATAATATATATTAGATTATTAGATTTTATAAATCATTAGGTTTTTCAAATGTATATTCTATGTATCATTAGATTTAAAGTACATAATAAATTAAATACATACCTCTTAATGATCTAAATAATTTAGATCTTTTGATAGAGCATTTGTGTAGAAGAAATCTAATGGTTGAAACAATTTATTATGTCTTTTGGTAAATACATACCTCATGGTCTATTATCTCAATTTGTTAAGTCTTTTGGTAAATACAATGATAAATTAGATACATACCTCTTAATGATCTAAATAATTTAGATCTTTTGATAAAGCACTTGTGCGTAAAAAATCCAATGATTGAAAAAATTGATTAAGTCTTTCGATGGATACATACCTCATTGTCTATTGTCTCAATTTGTTAAGTCTTTTGGTAGATACAATGATGAATTAGATACACACCTCTTAATGATCTAAATAATTTAGATATTTTAGTAGAGCACTTATGTATAAGAAATCCAATTGTTGAAACAATTGATTAAGTCTTTTGGTAAATACATATCTCGTGGTCTATTGTCTCAATTTGTTAGAGCTTGTGCCGATAACGTGCTGTAAAAGAAATGGTAACAATAATAGAATTGGAGAGAAAAATGATGAAGAAATGATTTCACTATGAAACAAAGAGAATAGAAGAGATAATAACTTCAAACAATTCTCTCAATTTTTGATAAAATACTTGTATACAAACTAATGATCAATCAAACCTTTTATAGGCTTTAAAAGTGAGAAGGGAATTAGAAGAGATTATGAATAATTAAAAATACATAATTTGTTGAATCAATTTCATTACTTTTTCAATTTTTTATATTAAATGATAAATTGAATCACGTTAAAAATTATGATGATGGGTATATGAAAAAGTATATGAATATTCAAATAGACATTTATTATTTCATAACAAAAATATTTTTTTAGTAAATAATAAGCTTCTCCAATCTACTTTTCTCAATTTCCATTTTCAAATGAAAGCAATAAAGACTCTTTAAAAAAAATAAAGAAATGGAAGTTTTAATTCTCTTTCTCCCAAACACGAACACCGTTCATCATCTTCCGTCACGGTGCCATCAAACCCTCCTCCACAATCAAAGCTAGTCCATCAATCCACGGACCCCAATTTTTTCAAAAAGGAATGAACTGTCTTACCTATACCTAACCCGAGACCCTACAGCAGCACGTGAAGCAAGTTCATTAATAAGTGTGAACTGGGTCGGCGAAGTTTTATCCTTCACCATATCTGCAAAAATCTTTACTCGTTTTCAAAACAACCAATTTGATTATAACCCACATTCATAGTAGTCCCAGAAACAGAATCACGAACATGTATTAAATCAAACAACTCTATTTTTCCCTGCTTCGCATACCCAGAAAGAATTGTATTCCATGAGAAAGTGGTCTTCACAGGTATTTCATCGAATAAATTTTGGGCATCTAAAAGAAACCCAGTTTTTGCATACTTAAGTTCATGAGGTTGTTCATTAAATAGACACTAAAGGTAAGGCCTAATTCAACCATCTGGGAATGGATTGATTGTCCTTTTAAAAGGTCTGTGAATTTAAGGCTAGTTTGAAGGAGATGGGCACAGGAACCTGAGTGAGAAGATAAATAGAGTGGGTTTGGGATCTCCATCAGAAGCTAGATTAGAAGGGGCTAATGATAATTAGAGTGTACTTAAAGGTGTTTCGATAGAATTTTTGTTAAGTTCATAGCGTCGATTTTTTATTAAATTTGATCTATGGAGTGAGGGATTAGCTTTGGTGGTGGAGGAGCGTTTGATATCACGGTGGTGGAAGATGAGAGTCCTTAATGCTTTCATTTCAAAATTGAATTATCACGTGTTGTCATGTGTCGTCAATGACGAAGAAATGATCGAACATTTTTATTATATATAGTTCATGTTTTTAAAGGTCATGGATATATAGAGATTTGACTAATAATTCATAGTGTTTTCACATAAGTTTCTAGCTAAAAAAACAAATTTTCTACGTAGATTACATTTTCAAAATCTAACTAAAGAAAGTTGTAATATTGATAAACGAAAATTGATTTGAATATATTTTTGTTGTCAAGATAAGAAACCAATCTTTTAATCGTAATCATTGTGAAGACCTGAAATTGATTAATTAACACCTCGAAATTTTGCATGAAAAAGAAGAAGATAGAATTGTATTTTATTTTTTCAAATTTAGGATAACGATAATATGCAAATCATCTCAATCTACAAAATGTTAAATTATTATATGTGATTTTAGAAACTCGAGTAAATGCTTATTAGAATTTTACAAAATTACAATTATTTAACTTGAACAAATTTACTATTACTTTGCATATAGTTATAAATAAAAATGAGATGGTATAATTTAAATTTGTATCTATGTAATTACGTAATCACTAATCTTACGATAATATCTCAAATAACTCAATTACAAAATTCAAGACGCTAGGATGACAATGACTATATCAATTAAGTTGGCTTCATAGATAATAATATGATATTTTGAAATATAGAAACTTTGAGCATGCAATGTTTATTTTAATATATATATATATATATATACACTTAAAGTTTTTCATATATAACTTAATTTCATCTTATTTATTTTAAAAGTGTTTAAAATATTCAATTCGTCATTTCAATTAATTTTTATAGTCAAATAATTTTTTTGATCAAAATACATCTAATTTTACAAAAACAATTATAAAAATTTCAAGAATAAAACATGTGAGTCTCGTGAGTGTTTTTGTTTTTGTTTTTTTTTTTTGTGCAATTTAGTAAAGAGTAAGAGTATTTCAGAAAAAAAAATTAATAGTTGGAAAATTTGACTCAGAATGATAAATTGAACATTTTAAAATATTTTAAAGATAAAGAAAATGTAATAAAAAATTTGAAAACAAATGAGAAATTTTAAATATTATGATAAAAATAAATAGATATATTTACTTAAAAAAAAAAAGTAAAGAAAGGCAATTGATGAAATTTACTTGCAGACATTAAAATGGTGAAATTATTTACACTCTGACTTCTAACTTGTCTGCCAAAAAATAAAGTACGATTCTTCAATATTGGAGGCGGATCGCTTTACAAAGGAGGAGGGAGGCAGTACGTGTTTGCACCAGCAATTAGGTAGAGAAGAAAGGTGGACATTTCCAACTAACCCACATCAGAAAACGGTGCTCGATCCCCACGATTGAACGGACAAGATAGAAATATAAAGTCAATGAAGTAGTTGAGAAGATAAGGGATTACCTTAGAAGTACTGATTTTGCTACCCCTTTTCACTTTCTTTCAAATCTTAGAGAAAGTTGGGTGAAAAATATCAGTGTTTTTTTAAATGTACAAATCTAACTGTGGATGACTATTTTTAAACTCCAATTGAACATGGACTCTCAATGTATAAAATCTGATTCAAGGACCTTACCGTTAAAATAATAAACATAATAATAACTTCATTTAATTTTTTGAATTACTAATTGAGTTTACAAAATCTAAGAATTACAACTCGAATAAGAAATTAATATAACCAATTAGAATAATTAAATAATAAATAAATAAAAAACTCTTCAATGAAAGAGAATAAACATGAAAAACTAGTTAATCTATCATGCGCTTAGCTTCGACTATACTCTTCACGATCGTCTCTTTGAGAAAAAAATCATTTAATTTTACAATAAAACTCTATTTCGACCATTAAAAACTCTCTTTGAGAAGAATTTCATTTAATTCTATAATAAAACTCTACTTCAACGACTAAAAAGATTAACAGTCAATTGCAAAAAAAAAAGTTAAATACACTCATTTATTTTGTTATAAACTCATTATGCTTGAAAGTTCTAAATTTACACAACGTTGACTTACGATTTACGATATTTTTATTTTACTTTCCACAATTCCTATGGAGTTTGTAATGTAGAATTTTACACCATAAATTGTTTTAAACATTTAGGGATGCCACGACAAAGCAGAGGTCTAAGATCTCTCTCTCTCTCTCTCTTTTCAAAAGAAAAATTGGATGTAGATAGACCAATAACATAATAGCTATAAAATATGTTTATTATCTTTTCTAAGAGATTCGAGCTTGAAAGAAATAACTTTTTCCACGCTAAATGAGTTTTTTTTTTTTTTTTGGCTTTTGTTTATAATATACTCATCTTTCAACAACTCAAGAATCAAGATAGCGCAACTAAAGTCTCAACAGGTCACTACAGTAACTGTGCGGTTGACTGTAATTTAGGGGAAAAGTTTTTACCTAAAGTTTGATGGTTTGTTAACGGAAGATACCTCTTAGTTGAATTCCGTTAGCGGCACCTGAATCAGTCTTAAAACCCAACTCTCTGCTTTCGTTTTAAAATCCTTATATTCTTCTATTTCTTCATCTCCTTGAATCAAAGTCAATTTCTGTGAGCAGAGAGAAATCAATTATTCTTATCTATTGATGAGAAATTGAGCCCATACAATTTACTCTTGATTCAGAAAATGGAATTCAATAACATAGAGGAATCAAATGGGGTAATAACAGAAGAGAAAGAGAACGGAAACGAAGTCGATGAGATTGAACAAAGCAAAGTGCGTCTCATGAGAGCCTTTGTTGGAAGAGAAGATCCATCTGTCAAGGTTTTTTTTTCCCCCCTTCTTTTAAAGCAATATGGTTAATGGGTTTTTGTTTTTACGAGGATTAGTTATATATATGATGCTCGTCTTGTACTTGATCCTGCACTGTTCTTTCTTTTTTTTTTCCTAGGTACTTAGATCAGTGAAAATTACAGAAGACTTGATTTTACCTAAATTGTTTAGTAATGAAAAAATGTTTGAAAAATCTGATGTTAATCACACAACATTGGAGCAGGGCTGCAAAATCCAGTGTTAGGCTTAGAGCTGCAGTATTACCGAATTGCATTAAAAAAAGAAGTCTTAAGCTTTAGCAAAGTTGCAACTAGATGTTGTTCTTTAGCTTGATTCTCAACTTCCTTTTCTTGATTTAAGTTGTGTTTGAGTCCAGTCATCCACCTCATTTACGATGTCGGTCATGTGTGTTTCTTATGATTTTCAGGAAGTGGATGATTTGATGATCCGGAGATTTTTGCGTGCCCGAGAACTAGACATTGAGAAGGCGTCGACGTTATTCCTAAAGTACCTAAGTTGGAGGCGATCTTTTATCCCTAATGGCTTCATATCTCCATCAGAGATCCCAAATGAACTTGCTCAAAACAAGTTGTTTATGCAAGGCGTTGATAGGCAGAACCGACCCATAGTGGTGGTTTTCGGTGCTAGACATAAGCCTTACAAAGGAAGTTTAGAGGATTTCAAGCGTATGTCATAACCCTGGAAACTGCATTTTTTATTGTTGAATCCTGTGGCAACACAGATGTGAATTGATAGCTTTCAAATTGCCTTGTTCTCTATCATCGACCATAGGAGACAACAATTTTTTTATTTTTTATAATAGATCTAACATGGCAAAGTAGATCTGTCTTCAACTAACTCAGGAAATTTCTTATACTTACAGGTTTTGTTGCCTACACACTCGAGAGAATATGTGCCAGGTAATTCTATCAGTTACAACTTTTTCATCTCCCCTACTATTTCTATCGTGGAAAATGATCTTTGGAGAAGAGGGCATCAGTGATTTATTTGATTTACAGTATCAGTTTAGTGGTGATGCTAATATGTTATTGAATCAATCTCATTCAATGGACTCATCCTCCTAAAACAAAACTAACCATCTATTTGAGCAAGATAATTGTGTATATATTCAAGCACTATACCTTTACGGAAACCAGTCTCTAATGGAATCCAATCTAAGAATTCCCTTTCAACCTCACAAGTTTCATAGAACAAAATTAACCTATGTATTTGAGCAAGATAGCTGGATATATACATATATTCAAGCACTATACCTTTAGAAAACCAGTGTCTAATGGAATCCAATCTAAGAATTCCCTTTCAATTGCATAAGTTTCATAGAACAATTTCAATTTTGTTAATCAGAGTTAGTTTAAGCAAGCCAATCGAGCTTATGAAACATCTTGGTTTTTTCAGAATGCCAGCTGGACAGGAAAAGTTTGTGTCCATTGCAGATCTTGAAGGGTGGGGATACTCCAATAGTGACATTCGTGGATATCTAGCAGCATTATCAATATTGCAGGTTTGATGTCCCACGCAATGTTTTCATAAAGCAATTCTCAATTTGTTTACTTAACTAAAGAGCCATGCCGATCATAGTTTGCTTACTCTTGTGCACCTTAAAATGAGCATTTAGGTGACCATTAGATACACCAGGGGAAAAAAAAAGATCAGCAGTGTAGTTGTAGGAGAAAATTGCTCTGGCTGAGATGCTTATATCAGTAGTTGAATGTTTTTTTTCATGACAGGATTGCTACCCCGAGAGGTTAGGCAAATTGTTCATAGTTCATGTGCCCTACGTATTTATGACTGCATGGAAGGTTGTTTACCCCTTTATTGACAGCAAAACCAAAAAGAAGGTATGAAATGTCTTTCCTTGCTATATATGCATTCATTTTCCTACGTTTTGATTGGACCAACGAGTGAACATATGGAAACAGTTCCACCAGCTATATTTATTCTTGAGACTTTTCCACAAGTCTAAAAGCGAAGAGTATGAAGAGATCTGGATGGTGCCGAAAACTTTACTATATGAAAATATACCTAAGGAAACCAACAACCTTTTTATCTGACAGAAATTCAAAAAGATGAGTCTTGTTTTTGTTTATTATTTTGCCAAAACCTCAAAATGCCAGAAATTCCTGAATCTTTAGATGTTTTGATTATGGTCTGTGGAACATTGGATTTAGACTGCATGGACACAACAAGACATGTATGTAGGTTGGCAATTTTGGTCTGTCTTTTCTTTGCCTTAATCCACCCCGTTTGCACTGAATTTGTTGCAGATAATTTTTGTCGAGAACAAAAAACTGAAATCCACTCTGCTTGGAGATATTGAAGAAAGCCAGCTCCCAGATGTATACGGAGGCAAACTGTCATTAGTTCCTATCCAAGACGACTAACTAGTTGATTGTTACTTCTATATTACGCACTGAGTTGGTTCTCTGCTCTACAATTTGTAGGCGATGAGAAGTAGACGAGATAACTTATTTCTTTGGTGAATTTGAGATTTGGACACGAGAACACCAGTAATACCTTTATCTGTGCTATTTCAATGTTGTATGAACTTTTTTATTTTTTTATTTTTTATTAGGAGAGCAAAGTCCAAAGACATTACACATGAATCATCCTAAAAAAGAGGTAAGAAAGCCAATTCCACAAATGTCATATAATATCCTCATGCAGCAGATAAAAGTTTCTATTGAATAACCTCGATAGAGCGAGCCCTAACTAACTAATCTGCATATTTATTTTCTTCCTGATAAATGTGTTGAAAACGAACATTCTGAAAACGTTGCATCAAAAAATAAAATAAAAAACAAACCAACTGGCAATTTGGAAATGGAAAAACGACAATGGATCATACATCAAAGGAAAAATAGAATGCATCATTCTTAATTAAGAGATCAATAATTAGTTTAAAGTCAATTTTAAGATGGGCATCGAAAGACGACAATAAGTCCTTTTTGAATAAGATATCAATCAACTTCAAACTCAATTTTTTTTTTGAAATCTTGGTACCAAACAAGTTCAAAACCAATCAAAATTTGTTCAAGTAAGTTCAAGACCAACCAAAATTTTCTAAAGCTCGGCATGCAAAACTGAACATGTACCGATACTGTAAGTAAAGCCATCCATCCAATTACTTGATGAGTGGCGAATCAACCTGCCTGCTGAAGCTAATCCATTAACACTAGGCACAAAACCATCTGCGTTGAGTTTAATAAAACTAATCAAAAGAAAACTCAGCCGAATAAGTTGCTCTCTTTTATTGAAACTAGTAGCAGCAAGAGAAGTGAATTGCTTACAAGAAATTTTCTCTGCGGCATAGGATTTTAAGCAAAATAGAGGGTTACTAGGAATGCTTATCCACACCAAACCAAATATCCAAAGGAACTCCGATCACATGAATTGTACAAGAAAAGTTTTGGATCACCAATTCCTTGAGTTCAGCAAAAAAAAAAAAAAAAAAACTGGGGATAACCTCATTATGAACTTTTTTTTATTATTTATTTATTGGATGTTATATGAAATTATGAACTCTTGAATGGTCTATATAGCAGGAAAAAAGAAGTAAATCTCCCACCAAAAATGGAAATTCTACTCACAATTTTATAAATGTCAAATCAGCATTCGTAACCCAGTCCGCATAAGATATATTGGTGATTTTAATCAAATAGTGGAAATGACAAACTTGCTAGTGAATTTAACACTACCCTGAAATAAAACATTCTTGAATTTAAGAGAAGCCCTGATTCTAATTTAGTTCATTGACCAATTGTGAGTTCTTTCTCCAAGCATTGCAGCATGAAGATATTAAAATTGTGCATCCAATATTCCAAATAAAATACATGTAATTTTCTAGCACCCACATTCCCCCTCTCAGACCAAGATGTTTTGAGAACAGGGTAAACCTGCACGTTTATTCCTCAAAGACCAGGATGTTTCATGCAGTATTTATCAACCTCAATTCAAATCCAAATAGCATTTGTGATTCAAATCCAGAAGCCTCCCAGTGGCATCCATCACATCTTACAATGACCGGAAAATAAACATGCATGCCCAAAGGAGATATCGACAGCTCATAAGACAGCAACAATCCCAAGTTCAGATTATTGGTAGAACGAATTCTGAGTACAACTACACTGAAAAAATGCCCAGCAAATATCCAGGTGTATTATTCAGAAAAACATAGCCCCGCCTATTAAAAGCGGCAGATACACAATCCGAATAGATAGAGCATAAAGTGAACATGCGAAAAGTAAGACAAAACAAATTTGCAAAAATGTCACCGGCGTTTTGCAGCTGTAAAGGACAATATCTATTATAACATCCCATGGTAATTCTTGCGCTCCATAAAAGAATTCCTGCAGAATTTCTCACCCAATAAGTAACTTGTTCTCCTCCAAGAAACTATAAGTGGGGACCTCTAAATTAAAGGGTGCTGGACCCTTGCGAATCCTGCCAGAGATGTCATAGTGAGAGCCATGGCATGGGCAAAACCAGCCACCAAAGTCACCAGCATTAGGTAATGGAATGCACCCCAAGTGAGTACAGACCCCAACCACCACAAGCCATTCTGGATCCTTAACCCTGGCAGCATCCTCCTGTGGATCACGAAGGGATGCAATATCAACACTGTTCGCTAGCTTAATATCATCTTCAGTTCGTCTCCTGATGAAAACTGGCTTTCCACGCCACTTGACTGTAACAGTAGAGCCAGGCTCAATGCTAGAGAGATCAACCTCGAGGGAGGCCATGGCAAGGACATCTTTGCTAGCAGACATGCTCAGAACAAACTTGAGGATCAGAAGACGAATTAAAGAGGCATACACAAACCTGCCACCTGTCAAGACAAAATAAGCAAAAGCACGCTTGCTGGGGTCACCAGGTGGATAACGCTCATGGTTGTGCTCGTCGTAGACAATCTTTGGGCTAGGGTTCTTCACAGCGGCTACAGTAGCTGGGAGATCTGAGATGATACCCATATCATGTCCCGGAGTAAGGGCTCCAGAAGAAAACCCTGTAAGAATTATCGCCATTAGCAAATTAATTACAGTGCCAAATTTTAGACAAACAACAGGACATAAAGGACATCAAGCTTGCAAGGACATTGCCATTGATGCAAGGAGAACAAGATCTTTCCATAAATAAAAAAATATTGATTGAAAATAAGTGACACAAAGGAAATTTGGGGGGAAAAACACTCCACGTTAACTGAGTGGAATCAGCTACTTAAATCCCCCGTGCCCTATTCTTACTTCTCTAGACGAAACTTTTATGCTATTATCCATTATTAGTAGCAGTCAGAGCTTACACACACAGCACAGAGATACAGATACCTGACCTGACATTCCATTGATGTATTAAGAGAATAAAAACAACAACAGAGATCATAGACATAATACATGTATCTGATTGTACTTCATTAAAGCTACCGAAACATTCACTGATAGACCAATAATAATAAGAGCAAACATTGCACGTGGCAGTACACACCTTCCAACCGAGTACTTATGTTATTTGATTCAGGTCTCGAGCTTTAAAATATGCTTAACTTAATATAACACCTAACCAATTCTTAAAATGTATCCACTAAGCTTTGTTAAGCTAGCCATTTACCTTCCAAAAAGATTGGTACCGAAACCAAAAGTAAGGCTCAAAACTTCAAAACACGAAAGATTTGAACGGATATTTGTTAATAAAATTATCAAAAAATCCCAATAAAAATAAAAGAAAAATAGAAAAATTCATGCACATCCATGAAACATTTTTCATTCAATTCACTCCAAGTTGTACCAAACACGAAACCCTAAATTTGGTTCCGAAGAAATGGGACATCCAACAATCAAGATATGCTCACATCGTCAGGGGAAAAAAAAACAGAACTTTCATGGTTGTTTCCAGCAATTTCACATTTAATTGACGAGGACGAAATAATCAATTGATCAAATATTTTATTTTAAAAAAAGGGTAAAAACCTTTACATTCATTCCTTTCAGTTTCAAAAATCTCCTAAACCAGCCATCGAGTAAATATATTTTAAATTAAGAATAAAAGAAAATAGAATCAAGCGCGTGGAATCAAATAGAGGGATAGGCGAGGGCTAAATCTGAGAAAAGAAAGAGCGAACCTCTGATTAGATCTGGAGTGAAGGAAAAATGATAAGGGGAGAGGATGGATCTGGAAGAGGTGGCATAATCACGACCATCGCTGCCGGAAGCACTGTTTCGAGAGACGAAGGCGGAGGTCGTCTGCGAGGACCTCCATGGTAAATATGAGAGCCTCCTCCCTGCTACTCTCAACATCTTCTTACAGTTCTTCTCTTCCTCTTTGCTTTTAGCCCTAGGGCAGTGTTTATTTTTCTCAAGAGTCTAAAAAGAGAGAGAGATGGAGAGAGATAGATAGGTTGGATTTATTTTTTTCTTTTCTTATTGGGAAATGTTAATTTACAGCTACAGCGATGAAGGAGTCGTCCATGGCCTAAAACTAAAAGGGTTCCCAAATCACAACTAACCCCTCTCACGTTCCTTTATTTCGCTTAAACGACGACGTGGCTTTACCTTCTTTCACTGCTTTTTTAGGCTTTATTTGGGCAAAACCCCTATTTTCTTTGAATTTGTTCAATTGACCCTTCTTTTCTAAATTCATCCAATTAATCCGATAATTAACTTCCGTCAAATCTCAGTGTTAATTAGGCATGCAGAGCAGCAGATGTAGCAAACATTTTTCATTTATAAGATTAATTTTTATTATTCATGTAAAATTTATATCACCAAATAATTGTCTTAAAAAATATAATAATAAATATATATACAGTAGTCGTGGATGTTTAGCTGTTAAGAATATTTTTTATTTTCTAACTCCATTTTTATTTTACATTTCCAGTCTATATCAGAGGATGTAGAAATATGTTCATTTGGGAAATGTAAAAGTTTGTTCCCCAGTTTGAAAATTGAAAAACATGTCCAAATACCTTTTTTGTTTCCTATGCTTTTACTTATATATAGTTATTTATTTAAGTTTTTTTAAGTTTTTTTCTTATAACTTGGATGAAAATTATGTTCATGATAATTAATTTTGATATATTTTCATGAAATTTACTATACCGGATAAACAAGTGATATTGTTCATCATATTGTAAATTAGTTTTGATATATTTTCATGATTTACCAAATTATATTGTTATAATATTATAAATAACTGACAGACAAAAGAAGGGCAAACATCAAATATACCATCAAACTATAGGAGTTTTATCAATTTTACACTCAAATTATTTTTTGTAGTAATTTTATTTCTCAGTGAAGGATTTTTGTAAGAATTACTTGAAAAAAAAAATTAAGTTACTTATTAAAAAAAAGAGTACAATTTGAATGAAAATATGGAAAAACGAATGGAAGTCCTTAATTGAAATTTCTTAAAATTTAATGATAAAATTGATGTAAAAAATTGTTTGATGGTAACTTTGAGATTTGCTTTATCGTTGGGGGGTAGTTTTGGGATTTGATCATAAAAGAAATACTAAATAGAAAAATATAATGAAATAGATTAAATAAAAATAAAGTAATGAAACTCTTTTGAAAATAAAAATAAATATGCAAAAAAAAAAAAAAAACGCATGTTTTCTATAGATTTTATGGAAGACCCTTGGAAAACATCAAAAAGATAAAACTAATTATAAACTGGAAAATTGGAAATTTGTGTTTTTTAGTTTTCTAACTAGAAAAAAAAATATTTGAACATAAAATCCTATTTTCCATTTTCTATATAAATGTTTTTTCTAAGAAACAGAATTATAGAAAACAAGTAAAAAAATTTTATGGGAGAAACTTGGAAAACAACAAAAAGATGTTTTTTTTTTCCCTAAAACTAGTTATAAACTAGAAAATTGGCAAACTGTGTTTTCTGAATTGAAAAAAATAATAATATTTAAACACAAAATCCTTTTTTTCATTTTCAATAAAAATATTTTTCTGAAAAACATAATTATTCTCTGCATTTGAACACGATGTTAGACTTCTTCTACAATCGTTCTCTTCCCATTTATTTTATATCATACGATTGATTTCAACAATAAAAATAAAACATGAAAAAACAAACCATGTACTTCAATTATTGAATTAAATATATCATTACCGAATACAAACATAATAATGCTACCTCACATAATCAATGGAAAAACGCTAATGCTACCAAATTCCAAAAAACAAAAATTGTAACTTGCATTTTAAATGTGTAAAATTTCTATGGAAATCTGGACAAGGAGTTCTGTTTTTATTATATATAGATAGCTTCTGAAATTAAATACCTAACGGAATGAATCCACCAGGTTCAGCTCAATTTGTTGGTCCTAAAAACCAAATGAAACAACAACACACCTCTATAATAGATGAGTAAATTCAGTTTACAGATCACAAGTAGATTTTTCTGTAGTTCATTTTGTGCAGCGAAAATTGTCAGATTTGACGGGGCAAGACATTACAGCAATGTATAGTGTAAATGACAGGAGTGAGAAGGGAAATTAGCAGAAATCCAATATATAGGCACTGTCGCATGCCTAACGCATTAGGGTCACTATCACCCAAACTCTAATCCTCTGCAGATCCAGAGGACTGATGAGGGAAATTTGCCCAGACATCAGCCCATGTACTGTGTCCATCAGTTACTGACTTCACAACTGATGCTGCTTCTTCCACGTTAACACGGATTTGATCCTTGCTATCCCTCTCCCTGATTGTCACAGAGGTTGTGGAGTCAACGGTTATCGCAAAGGGTACACCTAGTTCATCTGTTCTTGCATATCGTTTGCCAATTGAGGTACCTATGAACAGCATTCATACAAACAGTTAAACAGAGCAAAATTAAGCAGTGCAGAAATTTATGCAACGCCATCAATGCAATTAACAACGGAAATGGTGCTCTATATTAGAATCCTTGCTATCAAAACAGAGAAAAAGGTGTCCAAAAGCAACATGGGGAAGGGGAGCACCAAGGGTTCAAACACTTCCTAGGAATAGTATAAGAAGATGCACGTGCAAGCACCCTGCAATTTAATATTATTACAAACCATTTTAGATTATCCTCACCCACACCACCAACACCAACGCCGCCGCCCCCCCCCCCCCCCCCGCGGCTGTGGCGAATACACAAGCCAAACCACAAATAAATTCAAAGCTGTTATTTGCAATTACAGAGCAAATAGGCAGTGGAGCTATATCATTTCAGAGACATTTCACTGAGGCTCCAAGTCTCTGCTTGGCATGGAAATTTATCCAATAAAAAATACATCTCATTTAATAATGTAGTATTTTTCAGACTCTTGGCAATGACAAAAAAAATTTCCTTTTACAAACATCATAGAAAAATATTGCTGCTATTTTTTTCCTTCTCTCTTTTTCCCTCCTTATTTAGAAAGTTCAATGCAGGCACACTTTAAACCTTCCTTTATTTTTTCAGATAAAATGCATGAAACCAAGTGCCCACACAATCATTCATCAAAACATGCCTAAACCTAAATCATGTCAATAATTACAAGCTAAACTTTTCTTGGTAAACTAGCAAAAATGCCTACAACTAAACAGCAAGATGATTTATATACACTGACCTGTAATATCAATCTTATGAGAGATTCCAGAAGCCGTCAATGACTTAGAAATGATTTTGGCAACATCTTCGTACTGCTGATTCTGGACAAGAGGAAAAACTGTGCACTTTATAGGTGCCACAAGAGGAGGAAAACGGAAAACATTCAGCTGCTCATCCCCAGCTTTACTGGACCTCATGTAGAAAGAGTGCTCATAGAGACAATAGATTATGCGGCCAATGCCAAAAGATGGCTCAATTACTGATGGTGTGAAAGTTCTCTGGTGTTCCTTCTTCTTCTCCTTTGAAATTGATACCATGCTCTTCTTAATTGTCACATTTTCTCCAAGAGTGCAGACATAAAATTCTACCTCTCCTTTAGTTTCCAGAGAGGCCTTCATTTCCAAAGCTTCTTTTTCATTCATTGCCTAACACAAGGGGAAAAAATCATACATTGAACAGCCACAAATAGCTTTATGATACTTAGGTCCACTGAAAACTTCCAGCTTTACCTCCAAAGCTTCAACCACTTTCTTTTGGTTACCCTTAAAAGCAAGACCCAGTTCTTTCTTTACTGGTACTATAACCAATTTCTGAGATCAAAACATTGAAGGTTAAATATAAGAGGGTCTACCATACAGAGTTGAAATATAAGGACTTACAGTTTGTTCAAAACAAAAATTTCGAAAAGAACGAAAAATAGAATAATGACAGCGAGTATGATTACCTCCACTTCCTTGGGTTCTGAAAATTTTTCATGGGCTACAAGAGGTACTCCACTTTTGTCCTGTTGAAGAAATAAGAAAAGGCTCGTAAGTATTTACCATTTCTAGTTTTATAAAGTTAAAGCTGATAAATTCTTAGCACTTCCTTGCTGTGCTTGTTTTGTTTCATGATAGCACAAGCACATACAATTTCATATATGATGCATGCTGAGTTAAAGATAGAGGGCTAAAATGGCACGATCAGAGCTAAAAGGAACTCAGCCTCAGAATCCTTCCCTAACAGGATTATAAGACAGACATGAATAAAAGAATTCACATCCACCTATGTGCCTACTGTTAAGCACTGCAGCTGTCAAATTTAGACACGTATATATCAAAGAGATTCTCACCGTGTGAGCACGCAAGTCATATGCAGATCTATCTGCAATACCAACACACTCAATCCAACCATATGAAGACTCAATCTCAGCATCCCAACAATCTGCAGCATAGTGGGCCATTTCATTCGCAAGATGTTGCCGGAATCGCAATCGGTCTTTGTCTATACCAAGATGAGTTAGGAAAAGATACACCCTCCCAATGAAATAGCCAAGAGTTTCATTGTTGACAGTTCCCTAAATGAAACAAATTATAGAATCATGATGAAGAGGGAATGCAGAAGACAAAATGAAAATTACCACAAAACTAACCTTAGAAACAGCTTCACCAAGCCGAATTTTCTTTGCAGATTGGGCAGAGACTTGTTCTTCTCTTGGGAACATCAGAAATTCGAGATCTGCAACTTCAGAGTATTTTGGGTGAGATTTGTCCTCAGGATCAACAAAGTGCTCAATCTCTGCTAATGTGAATTCACGGACTCTTAAAAGGCCTTGGCGGGGAGAAATCTATACATGATAGAGAGCATGGAGTCAGATCTGTGCGGAAAAAAATTATAACAGGCAAGAAGGCATGCAAAACCATCAAGACAACTTTCAATATCATCAATATCAGTGGAACAAACAATTGCGACAAACACAAGGCTATATTATGAAATACTCTCAGCTAAACACAGCATGGCTGTTGGCATTTGTTTAGACAAGTAACGCAAAAAGAACTTGAGCGTGCATTCTGCAATTAAGGAAAGAATTAAAACCTCATTTCTAAAAGCCTGGCCAATTTGAGCAGCAGCAAAGGGGAGCTTGTTCCCATTGTAATAGTACAAGTCCTTAAAGTTAACAAATATGCCCTGAGCTGTTTCTGGGCGCATATACCTTCAATGGACAAAAAAAAAAAAAAAGAATTGGAGATGGTTTCAGTACCGAGAGAGGGGAAAAAAAAACAATTCTGCATGTAAACTGAACTCAATCAGCAGATTCAGCACATAACTGTTATGGAAATTAAATAAAAGAAATCAAATTTATGAAAAACACGCACCCAGGGCTCAAACCAGAAGGACCAATTGATGTTTGAAACATCAAGTTGAATGGATAAGGATCAGAAAGTGGATTCTTCGTGTCTGGAGCTGTCATACCATACTCCTTGATCTTCGCACCCAGCTCTTCAGCAGAGAGATCATCCAGGACAGCAAGTACATGTTTCAGTTCTGCAGCCTTCTCTGCACTTATGCTAAGATCTTTCTGAATCTTCTCATTACAGAAATCCTTAAGCAAGTGGTCCGCACGATAGCAAGTCCCGGTTTTCTCATCCTTAACCATAAGGTCTGTGAATTTATCCACATGACCAGATGCTTTGAGAACAACCTCAGGCGTCACGCATGGGCAATCAACTTCCAACATATTCTCCTCAAGAACAAAATGCTGGCAAAACATCAACAAATTTCCTAATCAGTACACAAATATGCAACAGGAATGCCAAATATTATGATTCCTTAAACCTTTGAATACGATTGGGTAGCATTTTCTTCGCTTAAAAAAGCATACTATAAATCAATTCAAAATTTGGCCTCCTGAACCTAATTAATTGCATTGCAATTCTTTGCAATAATCTAAATCAGTATTGATTGATTCAGCTTTCAACAATCAGACCAAAACAGTGACAAAGCGATCGATCATCTTTACCTGGCGCCAAAAAGCAAGGACATTGGACTTGACGGCGCAACCAGGAGGCCCATAATCATAAAGCCCAGCAACACCACGATAAATCTTAAAAGAAGGAATATAAAACAACCTCCGTTCAAGTGTATTAACTACAGCTTGACGGAATGCTTCTTTATTAACAGAGCCATCAGGATTACCACTAACGGCAGCTTGAAGTTGTTTCTCAATCGAAGATTTCTCTAATTTTAGCGCGTTCAATTTTTCAATTGCCTGATCGACAGCAGTCTTTTCAGCATTAGAGGCTTTGAGCGCGCGGACAGTCTTGCCTTGAGATTCGATTGAGGATTGTTTCTCGGCGAGAGAGCGGCGCAGGGAGCCCTCGGAGGTGGCCATGCCTGGTGGAGGTTTGTGATGGATTAGGGTTGAGAATGGGGATTTTTTGGTGAGTGAGCGGCGAGAAAGACAGAGTAAATGGTGGCCAATGGAAGTTGATGAGGAAACCAGGGAAATGAGAAAGCGCATGCGCGACCAGTGAGAGTGAGATTCTTGTTTTCGTGCGCCTTTTTGTCACTAGGGTTTAAAGGGAGGTAAATTATAAATTAATCCATCTAGTTTGGAAAAACAAATTAATTTATAATTTTATTTCAAAACCTAATTATTTAATTTTTTTATTTTAAATTTTTTTATAATTTATTTATTTATTTATTCCCATTTCAATTATTTTAAAAATAGAAAAAAATTATTAAATAATTAGAAAAATAATATTTTATAAAATAAAATAATATTAAAATAAATATAATCAATAGGCAAAAGATTAAATAATTAATTTTTAAAACAAAAGAAATTTATATATTTATTTCTAAAAAATAGAACAACTAATTTATATGTACTGTGATAAACCCTAGTGACCAAATCAAATATATTAGTTCATTAAAATATATTAAATCAAATATAAGAAAAAAAACAAATCATCTAATTTTATAACTTTTTAATCATAATTTTGTGTTTAATTTATTCTTTTTTATATTTTTTATAAATTTTATGTTTGAAAAAAAAAACATGATTTGTTATTGATTTTTAGATAATAACTTACAATAATCTAAATAGAAATTGATTCCGACTTGACTTTCTTTCTCTTCGTTTTTTTCATCATTTCTCTATTTTCTCTTTATCTAAATATCAAACTACAATATAAATGAAATTAAGAATCGAAACAAAAAAAATTAAAAACATCATAAATCGAAGTATGATATTGAAAAAATACATACTTATGATGTATTTAGGATCGGCTATTGAAAAAATAGACGATGATGAAAAATATCCGGTAATATTAGGGTTTTTAGCTTCTTCTTTTTTTCCCCTCGTGAAAGGCTTAACAATCTAATTCTTTTTTTTTAAAAAAAAAAGACTTAAGCAAAAGTAGTTCCAACTGCATTAGCAAACAAATATTAGAATCGCTGTAGGTCTTGATAGCAACCTTTTCATATGGACTGCTCTCACTCTCATAGGAAAAAAAAATCTAGCTATTATCGTAATGAGTCAATGGATATAAATTCTCAATCAAATGTAGAACCATTAATAAAAAATAAAATAAGGTTAACCGATGGAATATCATTCGAGTGCATGCCTCATTTTTTAATTATTTTTAATTAGAATCTTTATAAAAAATAAATGTTAATAATTACAAGGTAAAGCTATCTTTTGCCAATTTCCATAGCCTCCTAGTTTTCGAGTTAGGTAGGTATGAAGAAGTGGCGAGTGGGTATTTTACACTCGGGTCGACCAACCGGATTCGTCGATGTTTTTTTCCCAAATCACCAATCATTTAGCCGATATCTCCACCAAACACCACCACCAATTGCTAGCCCACTCGCATACTCATCATTCTTGACTAGTTAGAGAAGGAGAAGATGTCGAATTTACCCAAAATTAAAAAGAGAAGGTCGATGGTCCAACCCGCTTAGCTACTCGGCCAAATCTCCCAATTACGATCAAACCATCGACTTCCACCACTAAAGAACTATTCCCCATCCTCTTAAAAGTTGTTTCCCTTAAAAGTATGGCTCGATGTCGCCGGATTAAGTCCAATCGACAACAAACATCCATCCTAATTTGTTTGACATAACCTCGGTTAAATTGATCGATCTAGGCCAAATCAAACTTCCACAATAATGGAAAAAAATTCCCCACTTGAATCCAACTAAAACCCTTAAAAATATTACTAGAAAACACACAAAATCATTAACGATTAAAGGTGAGAATTTCGGCCGACCTATTTTCTTCCTTTTTGGATTTGGTTATTTTTCGACCAAATAATGAGCATCACCACCAGAGCAATGTCCCTAACCATCCCATAAGCATTTTCTCTTTAAAATCCCAGTATAATCTTACTAGAATTGATCGAATTAGAGAGAGAAGATTCGGTTGACTCGTTCCTACCTTCGTTTTTCAACCAAATTACTTTGATTTAAGGTTGAAGAAACCTTCCACCGAGTCATAACAACATCTCTAGGTAGATTTGGAGCCTTAAAGCCGAGCATCATCACCTGGAAGTGAAGAGTGTAAAAGAAGCAAACTTAGTCGAAACTTTAAGGTCGTAAATCTCCCTCATCTATCAATGATAAATCATGCACCATCACATACGAGTGGAGTCGGCCTCTCTCTATTGTACAGGTCTTTCCATGCACTTGGATATGGTTGAAGTAGCCGCCGAAGATGGCTAGACAATAGCGAGCGTGTGTATAAGATCATTTTGGTAATTTTTGCATACAAAGGTATTTTGCTCTTTTTCACAAACAACTAGGGGCGGTTCAATCATCATATAATAGTCTTTTTAACACCCATAAATAGTTGCTTCTTTTTTATCGATTGATTGAAATAGTCGGTCTTCATCGAGACCGAAGGAAGTGAAACCGATTTGAGAGAAAACCTCGTAACATATTCATGACATTTGGGTAATTTTCAAACTTACCTAGATTATTTGAAATGATAAATAAATGATGAAAATATTATGTTGTGGATAATTGAGTTGTCAAATGCTTTGTCCGATTATGTATTAGATTTTTGTTTGTTATGTGTTTATTGAAATGTAGCCAGTCGGTGGCTTTCAAATCAATTTACATGCTTTTTTATTTATATAAAATATAGTTGTCGGTGGCTTTCCATCCATGTGGATGAAACCACTAAGTGGCTTTTAAGTTAATTTACTTGTTTTTTTTTGTTTAAAATGAAGTCGTTGGTGGCATCATACTCATATGACGAAGCCACTTAGTGGTTTCAAAATCATTTTACTTGCTCCCCGTCTACCCGAAATGAAGCTATTGGTGGTTGTGGATGAAGTCGTCGGTCGCTTCCAAATCAATTTATATACTTTTTTGTTTATCTAAAATAAAGCTATTGGTCGCTTACCACTTATATGATTGAAGCCACCTACGGCTTTCGAATTAATTTATATGCTTTTTTATTTTTCTAAAATATAGTTATCGATGGCTTCTCACCTATATGAATGAAGTCATTAGTGGCTTCCAAATTAATTTGCTTTTTTTTTGTTCATTTATGATAAAGTTATTGGTGGCTTCCCACTTATATGATGAAGTCGTTAATGGCTTCCAAATCGGTTATCTCGCTCTTCATTCAAGTGAAATGAAGTTGTCGGTGGCTTTTCACTTATGTAATGAAGTCGTCGATAGCTTCTTAAATTCGTGAGTTGAAGTCATCGGTAGCTTCCTACTCGTGTGAGCGAAGTTGTCGGTGACTTCTGTTCATGTCAATAAAGGTTATTAATCTTTAGAAACTCATTTATTTGTCGATATAGGTCATATTTGCTAAAAGTTAGCCAAATTCCAATCTCCCTAGTCTTTTTCCTCTAAGTATGGGTATCGAACCTCGGATCGGCTTAGACCTCGAATTATTCTCGCCATACCATTACGATAAAATAAATTCACTCAAATAGATATAGAAATATAACATAATAAAATCAAAATTTTATTATCACATGTAAATAATACAGATCTACCTTAGGTAAGATGGGACGTTAGTGATGTTATATGTTCTCCATATGTAACCAATCCCTTACCTATATATCTATACAAACTAGTTTTTTTAGAGTTTTCTTATTTTTCTCGATTAGTTAGTTGGTGACTCCTGTTCTTGCACCTTCTTCTATGGGTCCACGTCGACATACAATATGACATCGGACATATGTTGATTAAGGTATTAGGCATAATGAGATTTATAATATATTTTATCTCATATATAATTTATTAATTTTAAGTGGTAGCTACTATGTTATTCATGATAAATGCATAGTAATAAGCTCCAAAATGCAAAAATGCTTGTTAGGTCCCACATTCCATTTGCTAGTATGAAGCTATACCTTTATTGTTTTACTATTGACATTACGGAGAATCTCGAGTCGAGTTTAGCAATTATGTACGTGTGGGAGATAATAGAAAAATGAGATTGGGATTATTTGAAAAAAAAAAAAGGCAAGCAATTGTTTTATAGTTGCGGGGGAACTTATCCCCTTCAACTCCCATACATACATACATACATGTATATATATTTATAGACACATACACACACGAGAGAAAAAAGATAAAGGATAATTATAACTTGAATAGTAGAATAAAACTACAAGGAAACTCTATGTAAAAATCTTTATGCAAAACAAGAAAAACAAAAGAAAGGTTGTCTTGGCACTTGAATTGTGATAACATATAGTTATTTGATATTACTCGTTTTGATTTGATAAAATTACTTACATATAAGTATTGTTTCAATCCTAGACTTATTTATTTTTGTGCCATATATGAGAAAAATAATGCAATACAACTTTTGATGTGCCGTTTATTATTATCATAATTGTCAACAACCTACGTCTAGACAACGCAATTGTAAAAACCTACATTTAGGTAACTAAAACATTATTCAACTATAAATAACGAATTTTAAATTTTACAATCATTATAATAATAATTTTGAAAACTTTTATCCGTTAATAATGGTATTTTAAAAATACTATACACATGAAAGGTTAGCAAACCATTTAATGCAGACAATAATGTAAAAGTTTTGTTATAAAATTCAACTATGCTCAATCGAAAACAATTAATTTTAAAATTTTTATTAATATGAAACGAATGAGTACTTATTTTTCAAAAGTCGTTATTTGTCATCTAATAAAGTCACCTTTTTTTTAAGATCCTCAATCAAGCAAAAACTTTGAATTTAATTGATTCATTATATAAATTAAAGATATTCTTAAAAATCGAGGTCATAACACATGCTGCGCATATTTTAAGGTTTTATAATTTTAACTAATTTCATATTTGACAAATGCATGTTTATGGAGAGATTTTAAAGTAATCGAGGAGTAACCATTATATATATGTATTAGTTATTTTAATAGTCTACTTTTGAGGAGAGAGATAAACAAAAAAGAAAAAAAATTATATCCAAACTCACAAAAAATGATAAGAAAATTTTCACTCAGTCTTAATTTTCTCTCTCTCTTATTTTTCTTTCATCTTTATGTCTATTTTTCTCTTATGAAATAATTTATACTAGTTACTCGATGAGTAATATAAATTCCTCCATGTTTGTGTAACAATAAAACATTTAAAAATCAATTAGGGTGCATGTTATAATATAAATATTTCATTATCATGAATTTTTTTTTGTATAGAATAAGATACCCAATTTCTTCTAAGTGAATTTTATGCAATAATCCAAAACAAGTTATCCCATTATGTGCATGGTATATATAAAGAAAGAGATAAAAAGAACGTAATACAACCTTTGAGTTGTCATCTTTTTATCGTCATAATTGTCAATAGTCTACATTAAAAACTTGTAGACAAGTAAACTATTATTTAACTCGTTAATAACATTTTTTTTTAAGAAATCTTGCTTTTAATACGATAATCTCAACAATAACTATTTTAAAAAGCCTTTAGGCGACAAAAAAGTATCTATTGATTTTTTAATTTTGCAAGCTGCCATAAAAATCATTTTAAAGACTTTTAAGTAACAAAAAAAATCCCATAATAAATATTAAAATTTAAATTTCGCGATCATCGTAATGGTCATTTTGAAATTTTTTAAGCGACAAAAAATATATAATTATAAATAACAAATTTTGAATTTTAGAATCATTACAATGGTCAATTTGAAAACTCGTAGGCAACGGAAGAATATCCCATTATAAATAACAAACTTTTAAATTTATGATAATCACAACAATCATTTTGAAGATTTTTAGGTAACGAAAACATATCCAACTATCAATAACGGATCTTTAAATTTCATAATCATCACAACGGTCATTTTGAAATATCTCGAGCGACGGTGATATATGTAACTATAATTAACGAATTTTTGAATTTCACAACGAGTTACAACGGTCGTTTTAAAAACCAACGGAATTAGATCCAACCATAAATAACAAATTTTGAAATTTCATAATCATCACAACGGTTTTCTTGAAGACTTTTAGGTAACAAAAACATATCTAATGATGAATAACAAAAATTTAAAATTTTACAATCATCATAGCAGATCATTTTAAGATCTCTTAAATAAGAGAAAGATATCCAACCATAATTAATGAAATTTTGAATTTCACAACTATCACAACGGTCATTTTAAAAACTTTTAGGCAACAAAATAATGTCCAACCATAAATAACAATTTTTTAAATTTTACAATAGTCACAATGATCATTTTGAAGACTTTTAGGTAGTGAAAACATATCTAACTATAGATAACATATTTTTAAATTTCAAATCAACATAATGTTTATTTGGAAGTCTCTCGAGCGATGAAAATATATCTAACCACAAATAACAGATTTTTGAATTTCACAACCATCATAATGATCATTTTGAAAATTTTAGGTAAATGAAAAAATATCCAATAATAAAAAAATAGATTTTTGAATTTCACAACTATCACGAGCAATCATTTTTAAAACTATTAAGCAACTAAAAATATCCAACCACGAATAACATATTTTAAAATTTCATAATACGTGACAAATGTTATTTTAAAAAACTTTTAGACAATGGAAAAAAATCAAATCATAAATAACAGATTTGGCTTTCACTTTTCTCTATTTTCACTTTCAATTTCTTATCAATCCATAACTGCACACCTTGATAAAAAGCTCGTTTTTTCTATGTTATTTTTTTTTCTAAAATGAAACACCAAGTAAAAAATGACCGAAAGAAAAAAAAAGTATTGGTGCAGAATCCATTCCTTCAGGTGTCGTTTTTTTTATTTTTTACTTATTTTTTAAATTTTACAATTACCATAGCAATCATTTTGGAAATTTGTAGGCAATTTAAACATGATTTGCCTATCAACGATGACATTTTAAAACTCTTAAATAAGCAAAAAACGAGTGAACCATTTAATTTAAGCAACGATGCAAATGTTTCGATAAATAACCAAACTATAGTTAATTAAATAGAACTAATTTTAAAATTTTAGTTAGTCTAAAATGAGGTCTAATAAAATCACTTTTTAAAGATTTTCAATCAAGCAAAAAGTTTTTATTTGATAAATTCATTTTGTAAATAAAAGATATTCTTGAAAATCAAGGCTTCAAACACATACTTAGCACATTTTAAGATTTTTTAACTTCAACTAATTTCATATTAGACAAATGCAGGCTTGTACAGCATTCAAATGTTTTAAAAAACTGACTAGGTTCCATTTTATAATGTGAATATTTCGTTTATCAAATAAAAAAAACCCAAAATTTCGAAATTTAATTTTTTGAAACAATCCAACACAAGTCCTTCTACCCACCCCGTTGAAAAAGATCTATACGGGAAATAAAAAGAAAGACACAAATTCAAGAAAATCTAAGATGTTTCTTACTTGGCTGCATTAGAATCTTGTTCGTAAATTTCCTTATATTTGCTATCCTTGTTAGCCATAAAATATGGAAATGTACCGCTGAGGAGCGGGAAAAAAGAAGCAAAGAGGGAAAGTCGAAAATTCAAAACACAATCCCCAAAACTTACAACAAAAAATCCACCAAAATCTAAAAAGAAAGAGCCTCGCCCCCTCCCCTCCCCTCGCCCTCCCCACTGGACCCACCTTCTGACCTATAAATACCAACTCTCCTTCTCCCTTTCGAAAACCAACACTATTGAAATCCAGGTCAAAAAAAGAAAAAAAACAAAAAACAAAAGAAAAGGAGAAAACAAAAAGACCAGTCATTTACTGCGCCGTTACTTTCATCAAAATGGAACTACCATGCGACGGAGCCGGCATTTGCATGGTCTGCAAAAACAAGCCGCCAAGCGAAGAAACCCTCACGTGCAAAACATGTGTCACTCCCTGGCACGCTACGTGTCTCGTCTCTCCCCCTCAGGCGTTATCAGATACGCTTCAATGGGAGTGCCCTGACTGCTCCATGATAACGCCGCCGTCCACTTCCGCCGTCGCCTCTGGACGATCGGAGGAGGCCGGCGACCTCATCGCTTCGATTCGGAAGATCCAGGAAGACAAGTCCTTGACGGAACAGCAAAAGGCAAATAAACGGCAGGAGCTGCTGAGTGGCTCCGCCGCAGGTCCGTCGTCATCGGACGACGATGAAAAGAAAGAAAAGAACGATGTGCTGGATATACTCGATAAGGAATTAACTTGCTCCTTCTGTATGCAAATGCTGGATAGGCCTGTTACGGTATGCGAAATCTATTCACAAATTTAAATCTTATTCTTGCTCACTGGATTTTTTTTTTAAATATATAGATGTGTTCTTTTAAATAGAATGTTTTTGAACTGATTTTAGTTTTTTTTTTAAATAAATTGTTTAAAAATAGTTCGGAACTGTTTATTTGCTTGGCTTGTTTTAGTAAAGGTTTTGAGGGATTTTTTAACAGGAGAAGATAGTGGTGTCCTTGGATGCTGCTGTTAGTGTTGTTGAAATAAAGTTTTTACCTTTTTAGAGGTTAAAAGGTGAAAGCAGAGTCGTTTTCAATGGTGGCCAAATACAGAAAAAGATTGCTTTGAATAATTATAAAGTCTCTCTCCAGCTTTGACTTTATTTTTGGCCTTTCTTTGGATTACGGTCACCTGCTGTGAATGACTTTTAGAGATTTACCATGGATTCTTATTTTTGTGGATTTGAAGTGGAGTTCCATGGAGTCTTAATTTTTTTTTTTTTTTATTGGAAAATTTGAATTTATATATTGTTGATATTGATTGATATTTAGTCGAAGGTGAAGATTCATTTTAGATGGTTAAAAACCAGCGAGTAAAACCCAAAATGGAAATTTATTTCTAATGGGTTTTCAATACCATTTGCATGGTGGGTGATGCCTAGTATATTTTTTGTTTAGTTGTTCTAACATTCTTTTTAAATAAGCTCGCTAATTTATGGAGGATTCTTAATACCTCATACTTTTATTGAATTTCTTTGGTTATTATTTTATTCAGTTTCTTTTACATCTGTCATTTCCACTTATTTTTCTGTTGTTAGTTTGCAGAAACCATAGAGCTTGTATTGGAGTAAATATAGTTATATAACTTAATGTGCCTACTTAGATAGGACTCTGAATGAAGCAAGATTCTGCTAATTAGTGTTCTTGGATTGACAAATGTTTATGACTTCTTTCGTTTTTTCCTTGTTTCAGACACCATGTGGTCATAACTTTTGCCTGAAGTGTTTCCAGAGATGGATTGGACAAGGGAAACGTACATGTGCTTATTGCCGTGTACAAATCCCACCCAAGATGGCAAGCCAGCCTCGTATCAATTCTACACTTGTTTTTGCGATACGTATGGCAAGGCTGTCAAGGTCCAGCAATGCTGGTGGGGCTCAAAAGGAGTATCATTTTGTCCACAACCAAAACAGGCCGGACAAAGCATACACAACAGAGCGTGCTAAGAAAGCTGGAAAGGCTAATGCTTGTAGTGGGAAGATCTTTGTCACAGTTCCTCCTGATCACTTTGGGCCAATTCTTGCTGAGAATGACCCAGAAAGAAAAATGGGCGTTTTGGTGGGAGAGATATGGGAGGATAGGCTGACATGTAGACAGTGGGGTGCCCATCTTCCCCATGTTGCAGGAATTGCTGGTCAGTCATCTTATGGTGCACAATCTGTGGCTCTCTCTGGAGGTTATCTAGATGATGAGGACCATGGTGAATGGTTCCTTTACACTGGGAGGTATATTGTCTGCATCTCTGCATTAGTGTTCTTTCTCATGACCTGGTTTCTACTATGCTATCGGTTGGTTTTCATTTACCATGAGCTGTGGTTCATTCAATGTTAAATTTGAATGCCATTGAATGAACTAATTTTTGCTAACAAAATTGTCAGACTGAATAAGTTTTTCAATTTTTGGTTGATCTAACAATAAATACTCAATCAATGTACTGTACTACATGTGTGACATGAAGGGATGCAGTGCACTGCTTTGTTATATTTGGAATGCTAAAGCACTGACATGAGATGAAATTGTGGTTCATAGCATGAGCAATGCCAAATTTAGTGGTTGATTGAATTTTACATATTGCAGTGGTTTTTTTTTTCTTTTTCAACTTTGATTGTTTAACTTTATAATTTGTGGTTGACAGTGGAGGAAGGGACCTGAGTGGCAATAAACGCACAAACAAGGATCAATCTTTTGATCAAAAGTTTGACAAGATGAATGAGGCATTACGATTAAGCTGCCTAAAGGGCTATCCTGTAAGAGTGGTCAGGTGAGTTGTGCTAAGAAGTGATGTAGTGATCCATTAGTGTGGATTTGGGTGTCTTTCATGGGGCTGTATAATTTCTATCTTTCATTTAGGTTCTTGGTGTTGAGGGATTTCATAAAATGTAAAGCATTTATGGGATGTGGAAAACGATTTCGAGCAAGGAAAATTCACATTTCATGTGAAATCAATATACTTAAATGTAATTAATGAGTGTTCTAATTCTAGAAATACATGCTGCTGTTGAATATAGGAAATTTAGTCTTTTTCTTATGCAGGCATTTAATCTTCAATGTAATTTTCCCTTATGTGAAAAGGCGCCCTCAGCTGATCTACTGTTTACATTCATTTCTATCATCATAAATTGCTGAACTGATTAGTGATAATGATGTTGAGTCACAGATTTTTTAGTTGGGAATGAGCATCCTACCACATGATATGGGGAAATCTCGTTTTATTAAAATCTGTCATTAGTGTAGGTAGTTGTATTTGATAGTTCCCTCCAATGCTTAGAGATCTGTTAGCATTGTCTGTTTGGTCTCCATACAGCCCTCCCATCCCTTCCAGGACAGTTTTTATCTGTTGGTCTTTGTTATTTCTGATGTCTTTATGTATCCTTTGATAAATCTTCTTTTTTCATTCATCAATTGTGCAGGTTATCTGTGGATGGATGTTTTTATTTCTTATTTTTATTTGAATGTCAATGTGAACTTTCCCTGTTTGCAAGCAGGTCCCACAAAGAGAAGCGATCATCTTATGCTCCAGAAAAAGGTGTACGTTATGATGGGGTTTATAGGATTGAGAAGTGCTGGCGTAAGAATGGAATACAGGTAAATTTTTAATGACAATCTTCAAATGCATTTAAGGGAACTCATTGGCTTTTGTACTTGCTGAATGTGTTTGCTAACCATCTCCTTTTCCATTGTAGGGCTTTAAAGTTTGCAGGTATCTTTTTGTCAGATGTGACAATGAGCCTGCCCCATGGACGAGGTTTGTTCTGCCTCTCTCCTTCCCTCCTCCCCACCTCCTTCCCACTCTCTCCCTGATTTAACTCTATGGAAATGAAATTGCAGTGATGTTCAAGGTGACCGTCCAAGGTCTCTCCCTGTCATTAAGGAGTTAAAGAATGCAACTGATATAACTGAAAGGAAGGGGTCCCCATCCTGGGACTATGATGTGAGTTCAACTCTTTCACTTTAATGGTCTATTGTAGCAACGAGTAATTCATTTTAAAGTACCAGAAGATGCTAACTTCTGCTTCTCAGGAGGAAAAGAGTTGCTGGGTGTGGAAAAAGCCTCCGCCAGCCAGTAAAAAAAGAGTTGCTGATAGTGGAGATCCAGAAGATGGCAGAGTGATGAGAGTCAAGCGGCTCAAGCAAACTGTATCTGTTAGAGAGAAGCTTCTGAAAGGTATGGTATTTATTCAAATCCAACTTGAAGCCTTCAGCTTCCACTCTTCTAAATATGTATTCTCTATGGAATGCTTTATGACCATGATCATGAACAATACCAGTCTATTAATGTAAGTATCTTTTTGCTTCTGGGTTGTTCATCAAGCAGAGTTTAGTTGTCAAATCTGTCGAAAGGTGATGGTCAATCCGATTACTACCCCATGTGTGCACAATTTCTGCAAAGCATGTCTAGAGTGTGCCTTTGCTGGCCAAAGTTTAACTAGGCAAAGAGGAGGCAGACGGACATTGAGAGTGCAAAAGAATGTTATGAAATGTCCATCCTGTACCATTGACATAGCTGACTTCCTTCAGAATCCGCAGGTACCATATGCATCAATTACATGCACTTTGATATGGAACAGCACTCTTGTGCCAAAACTGTGGGATTCTTTGTTTTGAATCATTTTTCATTTCTGTTTTCTAATAGAATTAGGTGGGAGTTTTCTTGACAGGTGAATCGGGAGTTGATGGGTGTAATAGAATCACTTCAACAGCAAGCGGAGCAGGAGAAGGTGGATGAAAATTCAGAAGGGTGTAGTGAAGAGAGCGATGATGCTATTGAGCAACCAGACTTGGTTGCTGATGCCGAAGAGCCGGAGGATGAATCCCAAAAGGCACAGAAGCAGAAAATAGAAACCGATGGTGATGACATTGTGGATCCATCATCAAATGTGCAGAGGGGGAGTCCAGGGAAGGAGAATGAAGCATTGACTGCTATTGATGGAGCCTGTCAATAACGGATGCTGGAGCCTGTAACTCAGACCAGGAGCAAGAGAGCTAAGATGAAAGCTGCCTGCCGTGAGCGTGTTAATTGTGTCTTCTGGCCTTTTGTCACAAATCTTTGTAATGTTACAAAACTTTTGTTTTACATGGGGTTTTAGTGACAATGACCCCGGAACTTGTATTATTTAGTGAATGGTCACACCCCTTTGTGTCGATTGGCACAGTTATCACATTCATTTCCAAAATTATCCTCGAATCCTATAACCGTTTTGAAAGTTGTATATTTACGGCAATGCCATCATCCTCAACCTTGCGCTCACGATTATCTACCGCTGCAAAACTTTACTCGACCTCGCAGATATTGAGCTGTTCGTTTTGAACAGTTTGTATGCCATGAAATGCATGCTAGAGAAGGTACAAGGAGCATTTGTTACTGATGGTCACGGTAACTGGAACGATGGGCAACGAATCTCAGTTCTTTAAAATTAAACTAATCCCAATTTTAGCAACAACAATTCAGAAGTCTGAACAAAATATCAGTTACATAAGAAAAACACTAGACGACTTACTGCCCCCGAACTGCATAATTAGGGATTGCACAAGTTGTTGCCCCTTGCTGCGTAATTTCTCGAGTTTGTGAGGTTCGGTTCTACCTCTTCAAATAATTTGTTTTCTATTTAGAAACATAGGGAAAAAGCGATACAAATGAAGTGTTTTTAGAGAAGAAGGATTCAGCGTACGGAGATAGGGATAACAGGCTTGTTCTGGTAAACTGTTCTCTTGCATCTGACATCATCGGAATGCACGCTGGTATGGATTGGCAAGGTTGAAGGCGATGGCATTATCGTAAATACATCAGGCTTCTTTTACTAGTTTTACGAGTCAAGGATAATTTGAAATTTGATATGATAAAAATGTGTCAATAGACACAAAGGGTCTGCCAATAGCACCACCCGTCTTAAGGGAATTTCATCCTGATATTGGATACATACGCTGATATATTTTAGGTTGAAGTTAATGGCCGATTCCTATTTGGGCAAAGTAAAGATGCAAGCGAAATAAGTTTGCGTGCAATTTGATAGGTAATCAGGTGTCCAGAGGTGATAATTGTCGATCGAATACAGACACATTGGTGTTCACTAATTGGATAGCGTATTTAAGTACTAAATAGTAAATACCAAGTTGGTCAACTTGAAAAGCCATGGTGGACATGCATTATTTTGGTTTTCTCAATTCATTCCTGGATTTAGCCCTAAATTTGTGGAAATGTGTCACGGTCCCAAAGTAGATCCCAAAGTAGGCCATGACCAGTGTGAGAAATCGAGGAAACCGCAAAGTTTATTTCTACTCAAATATCTAAACTTTAATTTTCAAACCTATATCACATCAAATATTATTTCACTTCGTAATATCATAACCTAATAGTTAATACCTTATAACTCCAACACAATGATAATTTCATAGTATTCTTGTATTTTTTCAGAAGCAATATCCATAATCAAATTCTAATGCAACTTCTACTAGTATAACTACGAGCTTTTAAGAATACAAGCAAAATCAAATCATGAGTCCAAGAAATTATAAGTAAATGAGCCGCATGATCAACGTAACGGCTTTAAGGCAAGCAGACTTATGGAAGAAAAAAGCAATCCCACAATCCTGCAAAGCCGAAATGAAAGAGTGTGAGCAAATCAACGAGTTCAATGAATGGATTCTATATAATATGTTTAAGGAAGGGAAGCAAACTAAGGATGATAATTTAAAATTGAATTCAATATGCAATGCTTATTTCTCAAAGTCATAAATATCAAACCGTATATTGTATTTTAAATGGTTCAAAACAAATCGCATCAAATCATCAAAATCTATATATATCATAATTAAATCAAATTAGATATTTAAATTTACACTTGGGGAGAAATAAACATAACGTATCATTGGATGCAAATACCCAAAGGCTATGTTTTCGTATGTTAGCAACACGAGGGCTAACACTACACCTCTTACGCTAGCTAGAGTATTACGTATTAGTGAGCTCGCGAGCTATGCCCCTCGTAGCTAGGTACCTCAAGGTAACCAATCAAATAAAAAATCATATAAACTTATACATATTTCAAAAATATCCAAATTCAACATATCAAATACGAGTTCATGCTTAAAATTAGATTTGATAATTCAATTCAATAACAAATAAACATTTACAAAAATTATACGGGTAATCAAACTAACAATCTAATGTAAATTAGTATTTAAATCCATAATCACATATCAAACCATAAGTAAAACACTTGTTCAAACATATATTCAAATCTCTTTTTAAAATCATATCTAATCATTTTCAATATAAATCATTTCAAATGCGCGAGGATTCCGTTCTCGTCTAAGTTTTAATGAATGTGATTATATTGCATTTAAATCAATGATGCATGACAAATCTATCGAAGGAATTTAAAAGCATAATATGCTATAGACTAACCACTTACGAGTACAATCAAAGGATCAAATGGAATCAAGGTTGCTAAGATGGAGTAGTACTGCTTCGAATAATCTAATAATACAAAATGGTGAAATAATAATTACTATCACGTATCGAAGAATAATTCAAGACAAATAAATTATTCTAGAAATTAGGATACAAGATTATTTATAAGAATGAAATTGATTGGAAGGATTCAAATAGATAATTTTAACTAAACTCTTCCTCTCTCAATCCATTCTAGACAATTACCTAACTATATTCCATCATTAATTCTCAATTCAATTTGTTCACTAAACCTACCTACATAATCCATCTCTTTTCCTTAGTTTCCAAAATAATTTAATCCTTATCATTAAATTAATCCATACTAAATCTTCCACTTCAATCAATGAACTCATAATTAAATTCTTTACTCAATAATTAATCAATAAATCTTAAAATTCAAATTTTACTATTCATCATCTTTAATCTCTCAAATTAATCCAATTTACTAAATTCAAGTTCAATTCAACTTCATAAATCACTAACCCAAAATAATTGTACATCATTTAGGTTATATTTGATAAAGCTGAAAATTAAGTGTTAAATCTGTTAACTATTGAATTTTAAATACTTGAATAATTAAGTATTGAATATATTACCGATAAGTTGTTTGGTATTTATTGAAAATTAAATGTTGAATATAATAAGGTTGTTTGATAAGTATTGTTACTCGAACATATTAAGACCATATACATGACAATTTTAACCTTACAATTGTAGCATGGTTTTTTTTTTTAACACAAATAAAAATATATACATAAATATGTTTGTATGTATAAATAAATAAATAAAAATTCAATAAAAATAATTATTAATAAAAAATTAAACATGATCTAAGATAACATTAATTATCGTATCATGTAAATAACGAACTCCTTGTCCTAGGTATATCGGAAAAGACATGACACGTAAAAGTGGTGCCAACAACTAAGAAATAGACTCCTTGTTCTAGGTATTTTAGAAAATTTTTCTTGATGTTTTCCATGTAACTATGCTTAGTCACCGTTGATCTTCTTAAAAAATAAAGTTGCTCATGTGATACAAATAACAATGAAAACACAATTCCTTCACACGTTTTATACTCTTATATATATTCCGTGAATGCAACTATGACATCTTACTTGTTTAGGATGTGCTTGGAGTTGTCGTTGCTTATTCCATCTCTTTAATTAATGCTTAAATGTTGTTCAAATCTTTTTTTTATAGAAAAAATCTTTCTAGTTATAATTTCTAAACCTCCCATTCTATAATTTCCAAACCTCTCTTTCCTTAAACTTCAAAATTAGAAAGGAAAAAAAAAGGAAAAAGAAACCAAAAACCACATTATTTAAGTAAAGTACTCTTCTAAAAAATTTCAAAATTTCTCACCCCGAAAATATCCCAAAAAAAAAAAAATACAAAGCTTAAAAACCCTCTATCCCACACCAATGAAACTATATCAAAGATACAACTATCGTTGTTATGTTACAAGTTGAAAAAAAAAGATTATTATTATTATTATTTTAAATACAACTAGTTGTTGCTACTTTGACCTTATAGCCATGGCATTATTCATCAATTTCCAAAAATGGCATTTTCCTTGCTTGAAATCCAAAGAATATTGCGGTGCAGGTATGCCCACTGTGGCAAAACTAGATAATGCTCATTGAGACATTGATTGTAAGAGGATCAAAATCATATGGAGACAACTTTGGTAGTTACCGAAGGAGAGAGGCCTTAAGTAGAGTGTACGTTTAATTAGGGAAAGAAATATTAGGCCAAGGCTTTGAAAGACTTTATCCGTCACGAAGAGAAGGCCGAATTCATCCAAATTATGGTATACTTAATTATATATATATACATGGTCATCTATGTATATGCAATAGATGTATGTGGGTATTGGTAAGCAATTAAAGGGCGAATAACTTCATTTAAGTATTGGAAATTTTGTGTGAGAGGCAAAGAAGGCCATTTTCAATCTACGGACCATTTGGTAACCGGCATGGTCCCTTCTAAATTCCAATACCGATGGTTCCATCGAAGTGAGGTCTTATGAAAGAAATTCTAAATAGCTCTTGTTGCTTGTATTTTTGCATAGAATTGATGACTAACCTCGAGGTTCTGTCGATGATGATGGGATAGAAGCACCGATGATGGAGAAGGTTTTCTCTGTTTTGACAATGGGGATAGTAGAAATTATTTTTCAATTGATTTATATAACTAAAATTATAAGAATAAACGAGAGCTATATAGTCATATTTAAAAATATTTGAATTGAGTATGTTAATTAAAAAATTTAACTTACCTAATTAGGTAGATTTTAACGAATTTAAATTTTAAATATGAGATCGTTTATATTATCAAACAAACCTTTTATATTAAGTGCATAACTTAATTTTTTAAACTACTTAAATAGGCTATCAAATACCCTCTTAGTCATTTGGAATAACTTAATCAACTTTTTTGCAAATGGGTCTCAAAACCCTAACACAAATCTAACTATATTCTTCATTC